ATCCAGGACCCATTCATAATACTATGAGACTTATACTATGATGTGTAAGAAATTTGGGGAGATTATTTTAGATTATTTAGGTATATGTCTCCCTAAATTCCTATTTTCAACTTTATTGACATAACACCTTGGATATTCAGTATTTAGTGATAATTGGCTTTTAGAAGGACAACCTTGACTGTTATAATTGCCCTTAAATGGATAAATGGGGTATAATAAAAAAATCCATGATAATTTTAGCTAAATTTGACATTAAAATTTGAGTTGCTATTTCTCTTGTAGATGTTCCATTGTGGGGCTTCTATTTATTAGTATCTAGGGCTCTTGCAATGAAAATTTCTGACTTTCCATTACTCTGTTCAGATTAGAAAGCTGAAAGGGTCTCAGCTAGGAAATAAGGCCCTCGCAGGGAGATTTGGAGAATAGGAAAAGCATTTTTTGTGGTCCTCATTGCTGGGAGATACTGTGGCTTAGTAAGAGAAGTGGTTCTCAGAATCTCTTGTCTCAAAAAGCCTTTTTAAAAATTGTTATTGGGTCCTGCTGAGAAATGCTAAACTAGTTAAGTATTTTCATTTGGTAGCTACAAAAAAAAAAAAAAAAGTGGAGAACTTTGACTCTGGTTCTAATATTGGAAAAAATGACTGGAGTAATGCTGATAAGCTAGATAATGTGAGGAAGGAGCGAGGAGCGAGGCAGAAAAAAATGTCAATTCTGTTTGTGTGTAGCAAATTGTTGTGTTTTGAAATAATGCTGGATTCGCAGGAAGTTGCAGAGACAGTGTAGGGAGGGATCATGTGCGCTTCCTCCAGGTTGCCTAGCAGTACAGCTGATGTAACTGCAGCATGACATCAGCAGCAGGGAACTGAAGATGCGCCAGGTGTGAATGTGGCCTGGCGCTACCTGCATTCACATGTGTAGATCTCATAGCTGCCACTGCATTCGGGAAGCAACTGTCCCACCTGTCAGGTTTTCCCCAAGCTCCTCTGCACCCACCATACCTAATCTGTGCTTCTGTCCTTTGGAGAAGGGGACATGAGGAAGTTCTAGAATCTGAGCCTTTGAGATGAGCTGTTTCTTCAGGTCACATCGTAATATGCCAGACTCGGTTCAGGCAGTGTTAGCCAGCAATGTATCCATATTGTGGAATGTCATGGATATATTTCGGTTTGCTTAGCCACTCATATGTTGTAAGGTATTTTGGTTATTTCCAATTTTGGGGGAAGTAAAAATTGGGTATGAACAGTTGTGAACAGAGTTTTGCATGGACATAAGTTTTTATTTCTTTAGGATAAATAGAAGTACAATTGCTGGGTGGCATGTTGAATGCACGTTAGTTTTTTTTTTAAAAGAAACTGCCAGGTTGCTTTCCCGAGGGGCTCTATCGTTTTACATTTCCAACAGCAGTGGAGAGAGACCCAGTTTCTCCGCGTCTCTGTCTGCATTTGGTTGTGTGACTACCTTTTATTTTAGCTGATCTAATAGGTATGTAGTGGTAGTTCATTCTGGTCTGAACTCGCACATCCCAGATGGTAAGCGGTGTCCTCCAGCTTTTTGTGCAGAGGTGTGTCTTGTCCATACTGTCTTTTGTGCACTGTCTCTTCATACTTTTTCCTCATTTCCTAATTAGACTGTTCTCTTGTAGAGTTTTGAATTTTTTTTCATATGTATTTTGAGTGTCAGTCCCTTGTCGGATAAGTGGTTTGCAGATGTTTTATCTGGTTTGTGCTTGTCTTTTCATCTTCTATGTAGAATCTTTCATAGAGGAAAAAGTTGGTGATTCTCATGTCATCAGTTGTTCTTTAATCTTTTTTTTAAACCTTTTGCTGTCATTTCTCAGAACTCTTCACCAATCACTAGGTTTTTGAGATATTCTTCTATGTTTCCTTCTAAAGTTTTATGGCTTTATATTTTTCATTTAAATCTGTGGTCATTTTAAGTTAATTTTTATTTAAGATGTGCAATTTAAGTCCTTTTTTTGGCCAACAGATATCCAATTACTCCAGCACCATTTGTTGAAAAATCTATTTTATTCCATTGACCTGCTTTTGTATGATATGAGGAATCACTTGGCCAGGCTTGTTGGCTGCATCTATTCTGTTCCATTGATCTAAGTGTCTGTCTCCCCTAAACACCACCATTGCAAGTCTTGCAGTCTGGAAATTTGATTCTTCCCATTTCATTGTTCTTTTTCACAATTATTTATTCTATCTTTTACCTTTTCATATAAATTTCATAGTGGTTTTTGGAGGGTTTCATTGTTGTTTTTTTGGTATGAGGGATCAGAACCAGGGCCTCATGCATGCTAAGCACATGTTCTATCACTGAGCTACACCCCAACCTGAAATAAATTTAAAAAATCTTGTCAGTATCTACAGAAATCTTGCTGGGATTATTATAGGATTTGCATTAAACCTATATACCAGTCTGAGGAAAATGACTTGCTGGGTGCAGAATTTTCATTTATGATCACAGTGTGTTTCTGTATCTGAGGTAATATTTTGTTTTTTTTTTCAGCTGTGTAATACAGTTCTCAGCACACAAATCCTACTTTTTTGTTATATTGACCTATGTGCATTTTTATGTGTTTCTAAAAATGAACCTTTATATTTATGTATTTTTTTAGTAATTGTAAATGGCATTGTAGTGTTAATTTCATTGTCAATGTATTCTTTGCAAGCGTATAAAATACTAGGCAGGCATGGTGGTGCGTGCTTCTAATCTCAGCACTCGGATGCTGAGGTAACAGGACTGCAGTTAAGTTTGAGGCCAGCCTGAGCTACATAGTAAGTTCAATGCAAATGTGAACTATATAATGAGACCTTGTCTCAAAAAAGTGGGGGTGGTTTGTATGTTGGTCTGTTTTGTGACCTTGTGCCTTTGCTTTTTAGTTCTAGATTTTTGTAGTTTCCTTGGGATTTTCTGTGAGGACTCTCATGTCTTCTACAAATAAAGGACCCTCCATTACTCCTTTCTGCTCTGTGATTTTATTCCCGCAGCTGGCTTCCCACACTGTGGAGACCTCGCAGCACTGTGTGGGATCACAGCAGTAGGGACGAGTCCCTGCCACACTCCCGACCTGAGTGAAAGCCTGCCATCCTTCTCATCCTTCTCTGTGTAGGGTGGAAGTTTGGGATTTGGGTAGATGCTCTTCGTGAAGCTTAGCAGGGCCCACTCTAATTTTCTGAAGAGTTTTGTTTTTGTTTTTGTTATGGTAGGTGTTTAATTTGTCAAATACTCTTCTGCATCAACTGATAGAATAATAAGACTTTTCATTCTTACCCTGTTAATAATATGGTTCTTGCAATTATACCATTTGATCATGGTATAAGTTGTTGTCCATATTGTTAAATTCTGTTGGTTGATGTTTTGTGAAGGACTTTTGCCTCCATATCCCTGAGGAATAGTGCTGTCCTCATCTGGATTTGGTATCTTTTCTGGATTCTTGTGAATATATGTTTACGTATCATTTATGCTTACAGAAGTCTACCTCAAATATGACAAAAGGTAAATAACTTTACAATAAAATATTAGACTCTGTCTAAAACATTGCTTTTTGTAACTAAGACTTACTTTTTGAGTTTATTTTAACTGATAGTGATTTTACACATTTATGGGGTACAGCATGGTATTTCAATCCTATATATGTTTCTATAATGATCAAATCAGAGTAGCTATCCATGTCCTCAAATATTTCTCATTCTTTGAGAATGAGAAGGAAACAGTCAGAATCCTCTCTTCTAGCTATTTTGCAGTATACAGAACCTTCCTGTTAATGGTAACTGCCCTACTGTGTGACAGAACACCAGAACTTATTTCTCCTAATTAACACAGTCAGCAGATTGCCTGTCCCCCTCACCTTCCTCTGCTCCAGTTTCGGGTGAACATTGTCTTATTCAGTGATTCTGTGTGAGACCAAATTTTCAATTCTATGTGTGTGTGATATGCGATATTCATCTCTCCTTGTTGGCCTTATTTCACTTAACATGATGTCCTCTAGGTTCACCCACGTTGTGACAAAAGACAGAATGTCATACTTTTTTATGGCTAAACATTATCCTATTGGATAATGGACATTTTCTTCATCAGTTCATTTATTGTTGGATACACCTAGGTCAATTCCTTACATTGCCTATTGTGAATAGTGCTGTAATAATCATATTGATGCAATATCTCTTCAACATACTGATTTCCTTTCCTTTATCTGTGTACCCAGCAGTGGGACAGCTGGGTCATGTGATAATTCTGCTTTTAGCATCTGAGGACTCGTCATACTGTTTTATATAATGGGTATGCAAACTCATTTTCCTATCAATTGCACTTATGTGTTTCCTTGTCTTCACATCTTTGCTAAGACTTCACTGATTCTAGGTAAACATTTTATATATGATTAAATTTTAAGTCTATAATTAAAATATATTTTCTATTAAAAATTATCAAAATTCTACCAAGAGTTAATTATTTTTAGGCAACTTCCATTGACATTGCATAAATTATATCAATATATTTTAAATAGAGGAGCATTTTGTACCAAGTATTTGAATAAAATCTTTGTGAACTAAACTTATCTTTAGGAAAATGGTATCCTAAGATCTGATTTTTTAAATGCAGACAAGTTTTATTTCAGAATTTTTTATTTGTGAGGGGTGGGTAGTATTAGGAATTGAATTCAGGACCTTACCTGGCAGTTGCTGTGCTGAGCTAAGTCCCCAGCTTGATTTCAGAATTTTTAGTGTTAGTCAGTAGGTGAAAATTTAAACTTAAAATTTATATTATGATTATGCATTATTGAAATGATCTAAAGGTATCAGAAGTGATAGGTTTTGAGCACCGTGGCATCACTTGACAAGCTAAAATATACATAGCTTAGCACCTGTACTGCGGATCTTCTCATAACTGTGGGGAACAAAGTATACTTTGCAACCTATTTTAATGAATATTTCTGGGTACCCTTTCTGGAAAAGGAAGAGTGTCTGTGTTTCAACTTTGTTCTAATTTTGCAGGATCCAAGCCAAAACTCGAGAATTTAGAGAGCGACAAGCCCGGGAGCGTGACTATGCTGAGATCCAAGATCTTCATCGGACGTTTGGCTGTGAGGACGAGCTGATGTACGGGGGGCTGTCGTCTTACGAGGGGTCCGTGGCTCTCAACGCCGGGCCACAGAGTCCCCGAGAAGGACACATGATGGATGCTTTGTACGCACAAGTGAAGAAGCCTCGGAATTCCAAAGCTTCCCCCGTGGACAGGTAGGCTCGGGAGCAGCCCCATGCGGCTCCTGAATCCTCTTTCCATGGCTTTTGACAGCAGAGGGCTGTAGATTGCTCATCAGTCCTCAAGCCCGAACCATCTGTTATTAATGGCCTTTAAAAAGCTGTTGGGTCTAAAAATATTGAACTTACACAAATCGAAGCCTAATGGAAAAAAGCAGCAAGCAGTTTTCATGGCTTTTCTAATGATCCCAACGTATTTCTTCTTGATCTTCAAATGCTTATAGACCCGGAGCTTGAATACAAAGCAAACTGGAAATTACAGCTCTTCTGCTTAAGCAAAATTTGCTGTCATCAGTAGGAGAACTTCCTGTTGGTAATTAAGTAGATGGAGATAGTCACAGTTTATTTCAATTCTGATTTAGAAAGGGCCACTTTGTTTTTGGTGGCATAATTTTATATTAGGAAAGAATTAGTAAGTGAGAAATATAGTATAAGCAATCTACTGACTTCTTAGCAGCCACAGGACACAGATGCAAATTACGTTTGTCAGTACAGCATACAGGAGTACAGTTTGACTGTATATTAATCACTATGTTATTTAAAATTTTAAAGTATATTTAAAATTTAATTGATTCAGGCTCGATGTGGTGGTACATGCCCATATTCTCAGCACTCAGGAGGCTAAGGCAGGAGGATTGCTGTGAGTTTGAAGCTAGTTTTGGCTACATTGTGAGTCCAAGGCTAGCCCAAACTACATAGTAAAAACCTGTTTCAAAATGAAAAAATTTTAACTGACTTTATGGCATTATATTGATTTCAAATTGCTATAAATATGTTTCAAATTTTAACAGATACAATTATTTTTGAGAAAATTTACTGCTGTGTAGTTTGGGGGGGGCTTGAATTTATTATATAGCCTACGCTGCTCTTGAACTCATGACAGTCCTCCTGCCTCAGCCTCCCTAGTGCTGAGATTAAGGGCATGTGCTACCATGCCCAACCCAGAAACAATTTTAAACAAATCTTTTCCCACCTTTCCATTTATGTATTCAAGTTCCATATGGAGTTTAGCTCATGAAGTAAATAATACTCTGTTTTTATATCAAATAAGCATGATATTGTCATCAGTAACACACTGATCTTGTTATCACTGTTTTTTTTTTTTTTTTTTTTTTTTTGTCTTTTTTGTTTTTATCGGTACCAGGGATCGAACTCATGACTGCCTGCTTGCAAGTTCAGGCGCTTATGCCGCTAAGCTAAATCCCCAGCTCTGATCTTGTTATCATGACTCTATATAGGAGCTGGACCTTGTGCATTATAAGTGGTTTATTAAAACCAGTGATTCTCAGGCTTTATGCAGCAGGATTGTGTGAAGGGATTCTTAAAACACTGATTGATTGACTGATTGATTGATTGATTATCCCCTAGAACTTTGATTTAGTAGGTCAGGATGAGAGTTCAAGAATTTTTGTTTCTTGTAAATGTCCCAGGCTTGATGTTGGCACTACTGGTCCGGATCTTTAATAACACTTGCAAGACAAGAAATGGCCTGGAATTATTTCATTTATGACATCGATGTCTTTCTTAGTTGCTACAGTTTTGCACGTAACCTGTATCTTAGTTCCTCACTTCCAGGTATTTTTAATAGAAATTTGCAAGAGCAACAGGTAACCCCTAGGTAAACTTAGAAGGAAGCATTTTAAAAAAACAGCAAATGGAGGGAGAAAAGCCCAGCAGACAAACAAGCAGATCTTAAGGTGATACTCTGGTCAGAATATTCTATTTCCTTTTCCTGTTGTTGTTTTATAGACTTTCTTCATTATCTTCAAAAATCTATTTGATCTTGAGTATAATGAGTGAATAAATTAATAAATACTGGAGGTTTATGGTTTGTTTAAATCCTCTGGCAGATTCTGAGAAGGTTTGTATGCTTCTTTACAACACAGATACATCAGGACTCAGAGAATGAAGGTATTATCAGTGACAGTGACATTTTCCTTAAAAGCTTTTGCTTGGTTTCTGCTGTATTTGTGAAAGCTGCTCGTACACCATCAAACTGCATCTGAAGGCCATGAATGACCCCTTGAAAGTGTTTTCTTGGGAGAAAGGACATCAGAAAGGGTAACATTTTCAGTCAGATTGAAGGAACTTAAATTAGTTGACATATTACTGTTTTTTGATCAAAGCAGTCAGCATCTTGCATATTGCATGTCTAGCTCAAAAATCTCAAAATCATGGGTACACTCACAGCAGGTACGCCTCGTAACCAAAAATGATGGCTTTAAACCCAGTACCCTACTAGAGTCCAAGTCTCACTGGATTCTGCAGGTTTTCCAGATGGTTTCTGTGCTTTGAGCTCTGTTCTCTGGACGGAAGCATGGCTGACTCAGCGTCCCACAGTCTCTCCTCCACACGGCGCTAACAGCAGACTCACACAGTTTCCATCCTCATTTCCATCAACGCGCACTCAGCAGAGCACACCAGAGGAGACTTCAGTCCCAGGGATGTGTTACCCAAGCAGTAAATAGCTCAGAACCACACCTCACACACCACTGTATTCAAAAGCTCCCATCTGCCTTACCCGGAGAGAGATACATTTTTTAAAAAATGAGTTGCAGGAATATATATTTCTGTTTTTTAATTACTATTTTTGTAGAGTATAAGATACACATTGAACAGTGAATGATGCTACTAATTGAAACCTGGGGAATTACTACACCTGTAAATTACTTCTTTACCTATCTAATAGTGAATTTGAACTTGATTTGGATAAAAAGATTGCCATTTCTTGTCTGCAAGAAAGCTGTAGTCAAGTTTACAGACTTGAGTAGGGTAGGAAACTTTTTTAAAAAGAAAGAAAATCTCTTGATAACTGCAGTAGCAGTTTAAATTGTTTTGATTATAACATTACTTAAATATGTATTAAAATTAAATAGGACTAAATTCCTTCTGTTTATAACCATTATACAACTATAACAACCAAACATCTTCACAAAATTAAAGACAAACAAAATGGCAAAACCATTACATTCAAATGAACAGCATTAATTTAATGTGGCCAATAATACTGTTTTAAGAGTCTGAACTCTTGCACAAATCACAAATACGGCAGTGCCTGCTACATGGCAGGTTTATTTAAGTGTGTTTGTCTGCCCCCACAGACTAAGTGCTGGCTCCATTTGCCTGTCACTTTTCTCCAAATTTCTGCAGTGCTGTTGAGCATTCATGTGTGACAGTCTCTGGCCTGCCCATCACATAACTGCATCATTTATGCATGAGGTCCAGCTTGCTTCCATCATCACTAAGCTGAGGTAGAGAAAGCAGCATTTCTTGATGCCTTCATATTTGTAAACTTAAATTGGGGAAGTGAAATAACATGCCTATAAGATGATCTGGAATATATTTACATTAACTTAAAAAAATGACACTAATCATTCCAGTGAAAATACAAAACTTGAAACTCCCCAGAGATTAGTTCCTGTGTGAACAATGTGCAAGATCCTTTCAACTGACTAAATGTCACCAAAATTTGCAATTGGTGTCAGATAAACTTTACTATTCAAATTTTTGGATTTCATGGGAGTATAAGCAAGATAGGGAGCTGCAAATCTAATGTGTAGCCTGCATCTTTTCTTGGATTTTCTTTATTCGATAAGAAAGCTATGTAGGATTTCACTGCTGAATTATTTTGATGGGTCTTGTAGTCAAAGATGTGGGTTTTGTGGCTCCACATGGAAGCAACCAAGAGTAATTTGTTAAATGCGCTGAATTTAATGTCAAAATGGGACCCTTTTGTAATCTGCACATATTACCTATGAAATGCTTTTTACAGGCTGTTTTCGTACTGGGTCTAGAGATGTCTTCATGCAGGTTTAATTTTATTGACACATGAACCATTGTTGGGTTGCATGTCTTAGTCACAGTGCCACTGTGGTCACTATTTATTAGGGTCCTTGGCAATGCTTTGACTTTGGTGTCTAGCGGATGCCTAAGAGAAGCAAACCTCACCCAGGGTTTCATATGAATAATGAGGCTTAAACCCATGAAGATATTACAGTTATTCTGCCTGTAACCAGGCACCTCAGGGACTTCACCTTGTAATGGATTCATAGTATTGTATTTCTTGGGTGCGAGTGCACTTCCTATTTGGTTGCAGTGTCTCAACTGCCTGCAGTACTTGGCATCTGCTGTGGCACCGTTCCCATGCCTTCCCATGCCTTGGAGACACCGCTGCCAGCCTAACCCATACCTGTTCTCTTCCTCCTTCACAAACCCCAGTTTTGCTCAGGCTGCCCCTTGCATCTGAGAGCTACAGTTTCCCAGGCTCCCTCACACTGAGCCATGAGCTTCAAAGCAGCCTCAGTGTTTCCGGATTCAAATGAGGCTGGGCTGGAGGTGCAGCTCAGAGGTAGATCACCTGTCTTTCATGCCGAAGGCCAAGATTTCCTCCCCAGCGCTGCAAGATAAAATAGGATAGAATAAAACAGAATGGACCATTGGACTTTTGCCCGCTGATATTTTCCCTGTCTCTCCTACATGTTGGGTGGGCACTGCCAGGGTAGGTTACCTGACAGGCTGAAAGTGGAGGCCGTGTGGAGGAAGAGAGCAACAGCTGGTACCTGAGCAGATTCTGCCCCAGGGCTGGGTGCCTATCCTGGACTCCTTGGTACCGCTGAAGGGTAAGCTGCTGCTTGTTCAAGTCGCCTGCCTTGAGGTTTCTGTTTTGTGAGGCCAAGTGGCATTCAGAATATAACAGAGAATGCACAGAAGAGCCTAAAGGAAGTTAGTTGTCTTTTGGTCAAGCCAGTCTGCATATCACAGCACTGTCTCTGGGTGAAGGAAATTTCATATGGCAAAGTTTTCTAGTGTTGCCCAATTAGCTAGGCTGCCCGTCATGTTTTTTTAAACCTCTCAGTAACCATTGTGTATCTGTTAAATGAAAGACCTCTACAACTTTTAGGCCTTCCAGGGCCTGACAGCACTCCATCCATGGCACTGAAGCACACATACCAGATATGAACTATGCGCCTAGGCTG